GCTCAAACTCACAAACTGTCAGATCACAACCTGAGCCGAGGTAGGATGCTTCACCAACTGGGCCACTCAAGTGCCCCCACCCCCCACCCCCACCTCTTTAGCTATAATTTAACATGCTGGAGAGATGAAAAGAAAAACTCAGCACTGGTGAATGTGTGATCTAGGTGTAATGCATTGGTCAGTGGTAGGCAAATAAGAAATTAATGTTTCCACTTGGTTTGTATTTCACAAGGTAACATGGAACACTTTAATCTGTGTGGGACCCGTGATATTTAGCAGTTGTATTTTATACAGCTGCCCTCCTGTATGCCCTTACGAGAACAAACAACTGTGAAAATACATCTCGCGCTGTACAAGAAAGGGAAACACTGCACAACTTTCTTTTTAGAGCAGGAAGGAAAGTGGCTTTTTCCCTTTGAAAACTGTGGCAGAGAAGTGCTTGTGAAACTATTCACCGGGAGGGACAGGTTTTTAAAGTTTCCAATCCTTTGCCCCTGGCACATCTGTAAAACACAGTAAAAATGTTACATTGAGATGTAGTTGCTATAAAAGTTTCCAAACGCTTCCTCTCCCTTTCTATATGTGTTACTCCAGATGACTACAAGGGTTCACAATGTGACACTGGCCTATAGAGCCATCCAGTAGCACCGAAATAGGCGTTTCAGGCAAGAATCAATAGATGCTGATGCTGTTTATGTGGGAACTTGGGATTTTGCCTAGAGTGGTGCGTTTGTTGTTGTTGTTGTTTTATGGGGTTTTTTTTTTTTTTTGTTTTGTTTTTTGCTGTTACTGGTCCAACCAAGGCACTGTGTAGAGTTGTACAGTGTGTGTCTTAGGACACCTGACTGAGGAGGTGAATGAGGGCTGGGATCTCCCTTCCAGGCTTTATGGGTCTCTATGCTCTCTTAGCAGAAACTAGCAAGAACCTCCTTTTGATTTCGGTTCTTTGTGCTAACAAAAAACTTCATCATGACATTGTAATTCTTTCCTGGGTTTCAAGCTCCTGTGGGAAGGGATATGGGTCTTCTATCATTGTAAGTAGAACAGAGCTCATACAAAAAATGAACTATTGGGACCTCATCAAGATTCAAAACTTCTTCACAGCAAAGGAAACAATCCATAAAACTAATGGGCAACTGACAGAATGGGAAAAGATAGTTGCAAATGACATATCAGATAAAAGGCTAGTATCCAAAATCTATACGGAACTCACCAAACTCCACACCCGAAAAACAAACAATCCAGTGAAGAAATGGGCAGAAAATATGAACAGACACTTCTCCAAAGAGGACATCCAGATGGCCAACAGACACATGAAATGATGCTCAGCGTCCCTCCTCATCAGGGAAATACAAATCAAAACTACACTGAGATACCACCTCACACCGGTCAGAGTGGCTAAAATGAGCAAATCAGAGAACTCTAGATGCTGGCGAGGATGTGGAGAAACGGGCACCCTCCTACGCTGTTGGTGGGAATGTAAACTGGTGCAGCCCCTCTGGAAAACAGTGTGGAGGTTCCTCAAAAAAGTAACAAGAGAACTCCCCTATGACCCAGCAATAGCACTGCTAGGAATTTACCCGAGGGATACAGGAGTGCTGATGCACAGGGGCACATGGACCCCAACGTTCATAGCAGCACTCTCAACAATAGCCAAAACATGGAAAGAGCCCAAGTGTCCATCAACAGACGAATGGATCAAGGAGATGTGGTTTATCTACACCATGGAATACTACATGGCAATGAGAAACAATGAAATCTGGCCACGTGTAGCAACATGGATGGACCTTGAGGGTGTTATGCTGAGTGAAATAAGTCAGACAGAGAAGGACAGCCACCATGTTTGCATGTATAGGAGGATTAGGAGGAACTTAAAGGAGAACCATGGGGGAGAAGAAGGGGAAAAATAGTGGGGGAGAGGGAGGGAGGCAAACCATGAGAGACTCTTGAATGCTGAGAACAAACTGAGGGCTGATGGGGGTGGGGGTGGAGGGGGGAGATGGGCATGGAGGAGGGCACTTGTGGGGATGAGCACTGGGTGTTACATGGAAACCAATTTGACAATAAACTATTTAATAATAAAAAAAGAGAACAGAGCTCATACAAATATCAAGTAAATTCCAAATTGCAAGTTGATCATGAGAGCCAAGTACAGCTGTTACTATTTAAAGAAGTAACGTGTGATTATTTTCCCCTGCAATTTCCTTTTATTGATCCAGAACTTACAGAGAGCAAGTTTTTAGATGCCCTGGGCAGGGAAGCTTCCTGAAGTCAATGATACCCTGACACACTCACCAAGTCACAGTGACCTATGGAATGGCCACAGTAGACATTAGAGGTCAAACCAAGTTTTGCCAACATTCTATCTCCAGTGAGGTTAAAATTAACCAAGGACCATGGCTTCACCCAGAAGCATGTGTTTAAGTAAATATGGCTAACGCGCCTGGGTGGCTCAGTCGGTTAAGCGTCTGACTTCAGCTCAGGTCATGATCTCATGGTTCGTGGGTTCAAGCCCTGCACCGGGCTCTGTGCTGACAGCTCAGAGCCTAGAGCTGCTTCAGATTCTGTGTCTCCCTTTCTCTCCAACCCTCCCCCACTCATGGTGTATCTCTGACTCTCTCTCAAAAATAAAGGTTAAAAAAAATTTAATAAAAATAAAAAGAAGCAAGGGCATGGGCAGCCTGCACATGCAAACCCATGGCAGGAACACTTGAGTGCATCTGAAATATTTTTTCAAGTCAGAAGCAGGATATGCCCACAGTGCAAGTAAAGGCCTAGAAGCTTATCACCAGTACAGAGGAAAACGTATCTTGGTGGCAAGTGAGATCGGAGGGTGTAATTAAATAACAGGTTTCCCACCAGACTGCATGAACCGGGTACATTCATTATACCTTGGCTCCTGACGATCTTCAGAGCTCCAAATGACCACCGCTCTGCTTATCTTTTGCAGGGCTTCTATGCGATGGACCAAAGAGGGGTCATGACCAAAATTTCTGCACTAAGGAAGAGCTTTGGAAAATCCATGAATTCCAGTTCTGCATGGGTTTTACTGTGAATGAGAAATGTCTAGCAGCTTAAGTTGCTGTTTTATGATCATTATCATATCAGTCTTGTCAGGAATGAGAGAAATAGGAGTTCCTAACATACTTTGGGTTCTGTTCAAGCCGTTTGGGTTGTGATGACAGAAAACCACTTAAGCGAGTTTGAGACCCAGAAGCCCACAGAGCAACAGGGCAGGAAGTACAGCCAGTTCCCTTGGAAGATGCTGGGCCCTAGAAAGCCAAGAATTAAGGGTTCCAGTTGTGGCTCTCATGGTTCAGATGAGATACGGTCTCATGGTTCAAGATTTCTTACATGTTTTCTCTGTTTCTCCCTATCCCTCTTGGTCTCTCTCTACCTCTGTCTCCCACTCCTCATCCCCCTGGCACAAATGGCTGCTACTACCACTGAGGCAAGCTGCATCTGAGTTCACCAGTTCAAATTCCCAAGAAGTAGAATCTGATTGGCTCAGCCGACCCATAGCCCTTGAATCACATCCCCCACTCTATCCAATCATCCGTGGCCAGGGCGTGAGGACAGCGTGTCAGCAGCACAGATTCAAAACTTCTGGGAAGCAGGTGTGAGCACGGTGTGCCTTGAACCATATCTATTGTTTGGAGATCTTCACAGCTCAGGTGCACACATGAGTGACCTTCAACAATGGAAGAAGAATCTAGTTCAGATTAGTGAATAATTAAGGATAATAGTCTTAGTAGTGAACATCCTCCTAATAAAAATATTAATGAATTGACTGGAGATGAGCAAAGACAAATGCCAGGTGGCACCAGAGTGTTAGGGTAACCGTTGCACAAGGCTGCCCTCCTGAAGCAGTTTTCTCAGTGGTCAGGTGAAGATACAAAGAAGACAAAATTGTAAGTGCCCAGAGTAATTCCCCTCCTGCAAAGGTTTGTTGCTATTGATCTGTTTAAATTGCTGAACAGGTACACAGGTGGTGTTTTAAAAGTGCAGAGCAGGGGTACTTGGGTGGCACCATCAGTTAAGCGACTGTCTTGATTTCGGCTCAGGTCATGATCCCATGGTTTGTGAGAAAGCGCTGTGTGGGCCCTGAGCTGATGGTGCAGAGCCTGCTTGGGATTCTCTCTCTCTCTCTCTCTCTCTCTCTCTCTGTCTCTCTCTCAAAATAAATAAACTTAACAAAACAACCAAAAAACAAAAACCACCCAGGAGTGAGTGTTATTCCCATTAACAAAAAAGTGCAGACCAAAGTTCTGGGAGCTTTCCTGCAGTGTTCTGATGTCAAGTGAATTACAGGTCCTCTGAACGTTCCCTGCGTGCATTTTCAGCAAACCTGCCAGTCTGCAGTGGGTTAGCTCTGTGACGCCTTCTGGCTGCAGTAGTTAAACTTCATGTTGCAAAGGTTGGATTTGGCATTGTCTACTTCCTCCAGATTCCATGACGACTTCCTGAATTTGTTGTTCTCTTTGTGCCACGAGTAGTAAATTTCCATGGTAGTGGAAATTGGCTCCGCCGCTCTTACACATAAGCACGAAGGTCAAATCTGATTATCAGGCACCTCTTGCATAGAATTCCCAACAGCTCTATCAAAAGCTAGTTTTATGTTTACTGTAATGAGATATTGTTTTCCTTATTCCTATTATGACTTCTACAGGATATTGTGTACGTTAAGACACAGCCTGGGGCCAGGAAACAGAGTACCCAGACCCTTAGAGGAGTAAACCTGGTGGTGGTTCTCATTAATCAGATTGCATTTGTGGTTTTCTAGATATAAGGTAAATAAAAACAACGGGAAATCTTTGGAGAAGCTCATAGTGGATATCAGAAAAGATAGTTTGGTATTGTAAATGGATAATCCACGAAATCTATTTCTGGACCCATCTGCGTTGAAGACATTCAGCTTAGCTACATTTCAAAGGTTAACAATACAGCTAAATCAAGCCAAGGGATGTTTGGCTTAAAAAAAGAAAAAAAAAAAAAAGCATGTGCTTCAGGAAGCACATGTACTAAAATTGGAACAATACAGAGAAGATTAGTGTGGCCTCTACATGAGTATGACATGCAAATTCATGAAGCATCCATATTTTATATAGTCAATAAGACTGTACTAATGTATGATGACTGATGATAACTACACATATCATGGTGAATGCTGGGTCACGTGCAGAATTGTGAAATCACTATGGTGTATACTTGTGTAATATAACATTGTATGTCAACTACACTTCGATTTTACAAATTTTTTGATGTTTTTTATTTATTTCTGAGAGAGAGACAGAGAGACAGAGAGACAGCATGAGCAGAGGAGGGGCAGAGAGAGAGGGAGACACAGAATCCAAAGCAGGCTCTAGGCTCTGAGCTGTCAGCACAGAGCGCAACACAGGGCTCGAACCTACGAACGGTGAGATCATGACCTAAGCGGAAGTTGGATGCTTAGCCAACTGAGGCACCTCTACACTTCAATTTTAAAAAACTAAAATAAATATAGGGAAGAGGAAATATTTCTTACAAGTTAATGATCATCAAGACCTAATGATATGTATAAATGTGCTGAACAGTGCTATGGAAATCATAGTAACAAAAGCAGTCAGACTTAAATCTTTATTCTAATGACCTCAGTCACCAAGTTGAATACCCATGTGAGAAGAAACAAGTACCTTATTAAACAAATATTGATGGTGCTGTACCCATAGTTATCTACTATGTATCCAGAGTTACTTACTCCAGCTCTAGAAAAATAAATAAATAGAGATAGTGGAATAGTTTCAAATGGTTCCAAACTGTCTTCCTTACTTTACTTCTAAACCACCTCCAGATAATGAGACTTTCTTTTTTTCTTTTTTTTTTACTTTTTAAATGTTTATTTATTTTTGACAGAGAGAGAGAGAGACAGAGTGTAAGTGGGGGAGGGGCAGAGAGAGAGGGAGACACAGAATCCAAGACAGGGTCCAGGCTCCGAGCTGTCAGCACAGAGCCCAACACGGGACTCAAACTTCTGAACCACGAGATCATAACCTGAACTGAAGTCAGGCACTTAACCAACTGAGCCACCCAGGCACCCCAGATAATGAGACTTTCAATGTCAGTTTTAGGTGTTTTTGTTTGTTTTGGGGGGGGTTGTTTTGTTTTGTTTTGTTTTGTTGGTCTATACAAAGCTTTGTATTCTTCACTTTGCACTTAATGTGTGTATTAGTCAGAATCCTGGCAAGAAACAGCATTCACTTGACGGTTCAAATGAGGAACGATTTAGTGAAGGATGGTTTACAATTTACAGAGATGCAGATCAGGTTAAGGGAATCAACAAATGATGCTTAGGCACCCAGGAACCAGCCATAGCATGCAGCTGTTACTGTCATCAGAGCCAAAAGGGCAAAGGGAGAAAATGAAGTGTGGAGCCCAGAGAGAGGACTGCCCAGCGGGAGCTGTAATCCTGGAGGAGCAGAGGCAAGAAGATACATCCCCGGCTGTCATCTCTCCTCCTGCCCTTCCATCTCCTGCTGGTGTCTCCCATTGTCTAAACCCAACCTGTAGCCAGAGGACAAGAGAATAGGGACAAAGTAGTGCACTGGGCTCCATTTCCTAGGGTGCAGAGCAGGGTAGAAAATGATTCTGGTTGGCTCAGTCTGTAGAGCATGCAACTCTTGGTCTTAGGGTCGTGAGCTCAAGCCCCATGTTGGACGCAGAGCTTTCTTTGCCCAGTTGCATGCACATCAGCATCCTCAGGCAGCACCTTCCTGGGATCTTGAATACCCCAGGATCTCGTAGACACTGGTGGAAACTTTAAGTGGCACACATATCGAGAAGCTTCCACTTTTTATGTCTGTTTTTATGTTGAACAAGGGGCGGTGATGAAAAGTTGTAACCAAAGGCATTTTCAAATGCACGAAACAAGATAAACATCTTCAAATGTTAACTGGAAAACAATCTCTCCACATAAAACCACTTAAAGAGGTTTATAAAGTTTAGGAATGTAAGCAAAGATACATAATGAGGGATGCTCTTTTCAAAATTGTAATAACACCTCAAAGTTCCTATTTGTAGATTGATGGTCCTCGGGAGATGCACAGTTAGATTAACACAATCTTTGGTACCATTGTCTACTAGCAGAGACTGGGAGGGTCAGCATCATCTATGTGGCAGGCCAGAAAAGCTATTAAACCCTTGTATACAGAGAGAACCAATTATCACACTGATCTGCTGTCCTTGTGATTAATGATTGAATACTGACAGCCACTTTTCATTATAGGAGCATTCTGTCTCAGCATTCAGCCATCGGTTTGGTTCTTCTGTGCACCTGCAGCTAACCTCATATCCCATGTTCCCTCTTCAAAACTCTTTCGTTTCAAGCTGGGCCATAGTGAAGAAAGGATTTTTTGAATCTCTTCCCAAGGTCAGGCCAGGGATATTCCAACATTATGCTTTCAAGAAAATCAGCTTCCAATTTGACTGTTCAAGAAACCCAGGGGAGAGGGGTGCCTGGGTGGCTCAGTTGGTTAAGCATCTGACTTTGGCTCAGGCCATGATCTCGCAGTTCACAGGTTCGAGCCCCATTTTGTGCTCTGTGCTGAATGTTTGCTCAGAGCCTGGAGCCTGCTTCAGATTCTGTGTCTCCTTCTCTCTCTGCTTTTCTCCGTTCATGCTCTGTCTCTCTGTCTCTCAAAAATAAATAAATGTAAAAAAATTTTTTAAATAAAAAACAAAGAAACTCAGAGGGTCACACCTTAGTGGTAGGGCTAAATTAGCTCAGAATTGAGGCGACTACAGGCCTACCCTGAAACAGTTTTTTAAAAAGCCATAAAAAGATCAAACCCATCTGGTCTTCCAAGAGTGTAACTTTCTTCCAAAACAAAGCCAATGTTCTTCAGAGCCAAATCCTTCTTCAAAGAAAGATAGCAAAGTTCAGATACTCAATAACCTAACAACTCAATATTCAACCTCCAGTAAAAAATTTCTGGACATGCCAAGAATCAGGAAAACATGACCCATAACCAGGATGAAAAAAAAAAAGTCAACAGAAAATGATCACCAATGACAGAAATGGTGGAATTAGTACACAAAACTTTGAAATACCTATTATAAATACTCTATATTTATGGATCTTTAATATGAATAAAATGGAGAGGGTGTGTGAGGATATAAGAAGAACCAAATGGAAATTCTGGAGATAAAAATTAAAAACACTTGAAATGAAAAAAAAATATATATATATAGATTTGAATCTATATATATATATTTATATATATATATAGATATATATATATATAGATATAGAAAAATAAATATATATATATATGTAGTATATATAGATACTATATATATATATTTTATATTTTATATATCTATATATATATACTAGATGAGATTAACTGCAGCTGAGACATGGGAAAAGAGAGAATCAGCAAGCCTGAAGATGTAGCAATACAAAAAATTCAATCTGCAACATAGATAAAAAGATGGGAAAAAATAAATGAGGCCTCAGTGACCTGGGGATAATATCAAGTGGTTTATTATACATGTAATTGGAATCCCAGAAAACTGTGATTTAGTGGTGAGGAGGAGAGGAGGACAGAAAAATATCTGAATAAATAATGGCTGAAAAAATTCCAAATTTAATAAACACTATGAATCCATGGATCCACAAACTTTAGTGAATCCCAAGGTGGGTAAACACACACACACACACACACACACAATATCATATCAAAGCACATTATAATTAAATTGTTGAAAAACAATGATAAAGAGAAAAATCTTAAAATCAGCCAGAGAAAAAAGGCACATGATGTACAAAGGAACAAAGAATGGGAGCAGATTTCTTTTCAGAAATGATGCAGGTCAGAAGACCATGGAATGGCATCTTTAAATTGCAGAATGAAAAAAATAAAATAAGATACAGTTAACATACAGTTCTATATCTAGCAAAAGTCTCTTTGCCACTTAAGGGGTGCCTGGCTGGCTCAGTCAGAAGAGCGTGCGAGGGTTGCCTGGGTGGCTCAGTTGATTAAGGGTTCGTCTTCGGCTCAGGTCATGATCTCACAGTTCATGGGTTTGAGCCCCACGTCAGGCTCTGTGCTGACAGCTCAGAGCCTGGAGCCTGCTTCAGATTCTTTCTTCCTCTCTCTCTATCACTCCCCTGCTCGCTCTCTGTCTCTCTCTCAAAAATAAATAAACATTGGGGTGCCTGGGTGGCTTAGTTGGTTAAGCGTCCGACTTTCGCTTAGGTCATGATCTCACGGTTCGTGGGTTCGAGCCCCGCGTCGGGCTCTGTGCTGACTGCCAGCTCAGAGCCTGGAGCCTGTTTTAGTCTGTGACTCCCTCTCTCTCTGACCCTCCCCTGCTCACGCTGTCTCTCTCTCTGTCTCCTAGAAATAAATAAACATTAAAAAAAATAATTAATAAATAAACATTAAAAAATTTTTTAAATATTTTTATTTATTTATAGGAGAGAGAGCATGAGCAGGGGAGGGTCAGAGAGAGAGGGAGATATAGACTCTGAAACAGGCTCCAGGCTCTGAGCTGGCAGTCAGCACAGAGCCCAACGCGGGGCTCGAACCCACAAACCGCGAGATCATGATCTAAGCAAAAGTCGGACGCTTAACCGACTAAGCCACCCAGGCGCCCCAAAATATTTTTAATTAAAAAAAGAAGAGCCTGTGAGTCTTGATCTTGGGGTCTTGAGTTCAAGCCCCACATGGGGTATAGAGATTATTTAATAAATAAAACTTTGACATAAAATAAAATGTTCAACTTAAGGTGAAATGAAGGCTTTATAACATGGGATGCCTGGGTAACTCAGTTAGTTGACCATCCAACTCTTGATTTCAGCTCAGGTCATGATTTCATGTTAGTGAGATCAACCCCCACTTTGGGCTCTGAGCTGACAGCACAGGGCCCGCTTGGGATTCTCTATCTCTGACCCCCCCCGCCCCGCAAAATAAATAAATAAACATGAAAAAAGCTGGGAGACTTTGCAATTGACCATCACTGTAAGTAATGTTAAAGGAAACTCTTTAGGCGAAGAAAAATAAAGCCAGATGAAAATTTGGATCTATACAAGGAAATGAAGAACACAAGGAATGGTAAATGTGT